AAAATTGCCGGGCGAAATAAAACAACATTTCATGGAACAATTATTTTATCTATACCTCATTGTTGAAACGTCAAAGTCTAACTGTCAAAGGCATTACTATCGAGACAGAAACGTCAGCGAGATGACATTCTCTTCCAACCGTTGAAACAACGTTCAACTCAAGCCTATCGCTATAGGGCACGGACGCTCACCGCATTGAGACCTCAGAAAAGAACAATTTCTTCAACTCAGAGACAGCCTTTCCTATGGTGCGAGGTATGGGCGCAGCGGTGTTGGGGGACGCTGACCTCGGCACTGTCAATAAGCCTGTTACATTTGTTTCCATTCCATTTTGACAGCGCGCTGACTAGACGGCGTTTGGGGTAATTATTGCACACGGACCTTACAAGGACTAGAGACGCCTTTTGTGCCACACTTATGGCCGTTCGAGATGCCTGCTCCTCATGTGAAATCGGAGGCTCGCTCTCTGCACAAAAGACGCTTTGCAAACGTCACAAGAGAACGGCCTCTCGCCGGTATGTATCCTGTAGTGGGTCGTGAAACAGCCTCGTCTGGCGAAACTCTTCGAGCACACGTCGCATTTATGAACCCTCTCTTTCTCGTGACTCACCATGTGCTCCTTCAAGTTCGAACGCGTACAAAAGGTCTTCGGGCAAAGCGAACACTGTTTGTCTCTCTCTTTCAAATGCACGTTTCTCTGGTGTCGCACAAGAGCGCTCTGTAACAGAGTTCTGTGACCACAGATACCGCAGGTCGGCATAGCGACACCGTGCTCTTCATTCATGTGGAACATATGGTCCCTGCGAGCGAACCTCATGTCGCAATGAAGACATTTCCTTTTAACGTGGACAGCTAGCATGTGTTCTGCGAGGGCGTTCTTCCTATTAAACTGTCGGCCACAATGGTCGCACGTGTATTTATCTGGCGCACTCAAACAATGCTCTCTGTTAGCGTGTTGTTTCCTCTGACTGTGGTACTTAAATTTCTGGGGGCAATAGTGACATTTGATGAAGTTCATCTTCAGGTGTACCCTGATGACGTGGTAGCGGAGGTCGGATATGCGTCGGTAGGATAACTGGCAGGCCGTGCAACAGTACCTCTCGCTCGGATCCGACCTTATGGCTATGTAATCTTCAACTTGAGCTACGCCTGGAAATAGAGGTAAAAAATTTACAGTTACCGGCGGTAGGACCTCTTGTGAGTACGCGCGGGTAAGTACCACCACCCCGCCTATTTCTGTCGTGAAGCAGTAATGCGTTTCGGTTTGAAGGGCGGGGCAGCCGTTGTAACTATACTGAGACCTTAGAACTGATATCTCAAGGTGGGTGGGTATTCATGGGCTCCAGTAACCACTTAACACCAGGTGGGCTGTGAGCTCATCCACCCATTAAAGCAATAAAAATGTTACGTAATTTAAGAACTTTTTTTATTGCCCCCGTATGCAGACGAGGGTACGGCCCACCTGATGGTAAGTGGTTACCGTCGCTCATGGACGTCAGCAATGCCAGGGACAGCCAAGCCGCTGCCTACCGCTTAATACTCTCCACAAGCCTCGTTTGAAGAAGGACATGTCATAGCACTCGGGAAACGCCGTGGAGGGGAGCTCATTCCGAAGCCAAATGGTACGTGGCTAAAAAGACCTTTGGAAACGCACTGTGGATGAACGCAGTGGCTCCAGGTAGTAAGGATGAACTCTACTCCAGTGTGTAGTAGAGTGTGTGTGCGGGAGGTGCGATGGTAAAAACGAGATGATTTCAGCTTCTCCTAGACGAGTAGATGAGCTCACGGGGCTCCAACCAGACTGTTGCTAACACTAGCCCTAGCAAGAACAGTGCTTCGGAGATTCTACCACCGGGTCAGAAACGCGACCGACTGAGATCTAGCTATAGCTGATCTAGGATTTAGATAGGTACAACATTGGTAGATTAGCACTTAAGTAACTCAATATAAAGGTAAGTGAACATAGCACGGCAGGCGTATCAAAAGTATTACTGCCCGCAGTTTCCAAGATTGCCGATGCGCTGACGAAATATTTCCAAACGTGTTCTTAACAAAAGCGGGTGATGACCTAAAATCACAAGCGACAGCGATTTTGTCGAAATTGTAAGGCGCTTGCCTAAGTAGTGTTATTTTTGGAATGTAGTGGCGGGTAGGTGAGTCGCCACACAGTCATCTCGTTTTTACCATCACCCCCCGCCTACCACCGGCTTTTTTCCTACCTATGCTGATAGCCTTACGAGGCTATTTCAGCTTCGCCCTAACATGTAGGTGAGCTCACGGGGCTACGGGGCTCAAGCCGGAGTGTTGCTGAAACTGGCCCTAGCAAGAGCCGTGCTTCACAGAATCTACCACCGGATCAGAAACGCGACCCACTGAGAAGATCCGGCGAGAAACTCAGTGGGCTGTGTCTGTGGGCCACCGGAGCATAGTTCATCCTACGTGGAACCACTGCGTTCATCCATAGTACGTTTCCAGAGATGTTTTCTGCCACGTACCGTCCGACTTTGGAATGAGCACCCCTCCACGGGGTTCCGCGAGCGCTATAATATGTCCTTCTTCAAACGAGGCTTGACGATCTTAACCCGCAAACAGGTACACTATGGTTTTATAATTAAATACGTAGCTAACACACAGTTTGAAGTCGTCGTGGCCTAAAGGATAAGACGTCCGGTGCATTCGTGTCGACTGATGCAACGGTGTTCGAATCCCGCAGGCAGGTACCAATTTTTCTAATGAAATACTTACTTAACAAGTGTTCACGATTGACTTCCACGGTGAAGGAATAACATCGTGTAATAAAAATCAAACCCGCAAAATTATAATTTGTGTAATTACTGGTGGTAGAACCCCTTGTGAGTGAAACAGTAATGCGTTTCGGTTTGAAAGGTGGGGTAGCCGTTGTAACTATACTTGAGACCTTAGAACTTATATCTCAAGGTGGATGGCGCATTTACGTTGTAGATGTCTATGGGCTCCAGTAACCACTTAACACCAGGTGGGCTGTGAGCTCGTCTGCCCATCTAAACAATAAAAAAAACGTTCATGAATAACCTACAACCAGAAGCTCCTAGACTTATAGGCCACTTTCAATATATACCTACCTGCTTCCAGTAGACCCCCTCCAAGCTCGATCGATATCTACAATATGCTCAAAACTCGAAGAGGAACGTGAATATTACATCTACATATGGAAATTTACGTTTTGGATGAGCTCCAACCATGACAAAAAAAACAGTCCCCAAGTCACAAAAAAACTCCCTAATGGGAAATATTATAGTATATTTTTTCTTTTGTCGTATCCTTTCAACTTAATAATAATTACACTATTATTGATTAATGTTATATTAGATTTTATTAAGATACCTAATTAAAATTACACATTAATAACGTTATATGACTTCTACAATGACAATCGCAAAATAGTCATATAACTTTAATGGGATGGATGTACTTGATGGATTGACAGCAAATAATTTAATATCGAAAACAAATAAACTTTCATGGACCCCGCTTACCAATTGTGGACCTCCTTTTATTGTCATGTCAACGTAGACACCCGTAGAACCCCTGGGGTTCACTGTGATCACTTTGGGAACTAAGGACCACCTACACTATAAACGCGTTAAGTTGCGTAAAAAATCTAACACGCAAAAAATATAATTTGCGTAATTACTATACACGTGGTACATAAACCTCATGTGTAAAGATGGGTGGCGACATTGACGTTGTAATGTCTCTAAGCTCCAGCAACCACTTAAGACCAGGTTGGTCGTGAGCTCCCTCTCCCGTGTACGGAATAAAAAGGTGCTGAACATCTTTCTTATTTCTATTACTATCTTCGTCTCTAGTTCTAATTTCTGCATCGTTACCTAATCTTTAAGCTATAACCAAAAAATCTAACTTATCGGGAAGTTTAAAATCTATCACCCTATCCTAATCGAGAAGACTTTGCCAATAAAAAAATGATCAGATAAAAAAACATTGTTTTATTGTTAAAAAAAATCCGTTTCCATTTTTAAACACCATAAAAATTCAAACTACCCTCAAACTACGGCAGGATGTTTCTTCATCATGTGATACTTCAAGCTGGTTTGTTGGACGAAGGCCTCGTCGCAGACCGAGCACGCGTACCTCCTGTCATTCAAGTGCATCCTGACGTGGGTCCTCAAATTCTTGCGCCACTTAAAACCTTTCCCGCAAAAATCGCACTTATGAATCCTCTCCGCGGAATGCTTTATCGAGTGCTGGGCCAAATTCGTTCGCGAGAAGAACTTCATATCGCAAACGCTGCACGCGATCGACTTCTCGCCCATGTGAACGTTCTTCTGGTGCTTCAGCATCTTGCTCTGGTACGGGAATTTCTTGCCGCACACCCCGCAGGTCGGGGCCGGAACGCCGTGCGCTTGCTCCATATGTGCGGCCCGCAAATGGGATGCAACTTTAACCGCACAGAGGTAGCACCCGCGCAATTTCGGACGCATCTTCAGGTGTACGTGCGTGTAATGCTGCCTGATGCAGGGGATGTTCTTGAATGATCGCCCGCACGTTTTGCAAGTGTATCTCATCGCGTCATCGGCTATTTCCCTAGTGTAATAATCGTCGATCGCCTTCGTCGCTGTCCCTAGAAAACAGAAACGACTTTTGAGCCTCGATCTCGTTTCTCTCCTGTAGCTCACCGCGCACAGTACTCTTTAAATCAACCTGGTGATGTGGTAACTGGTGTTTTTTTTTTAAATGATACACGTAATCTATATAAATAAAAATGTATTTCTGTTCGTTAGTCTCGCTAAAACTCGAGAACGGCTGGACCGATTTGGCTAATTTTGGGTCTTGAATTATTTGTGGAAGTCCAGGAAATTAAATTAAAATAACAATTTTATTTTTCCTTTGATGTGTCCCCCCCCTGTCGGACGGATTCCTTTTGTTTAAGTTTATTTTATACAAAAGTTTAGGTATTTTATTTATCGATTGAGGCACTACGAATTCTGCCGGGTCCGCTAGTATAAAATAAAACACAAAGTCCTTCGAATGCCATATATTTAACATCAGTCACAAGTTGGTTTTTATAAACTAAAAAATATAGATATAATTTTAATTCTCGTCCATCATCGACTGACCGCCCAAACAATAAAATAATTGACGTAAAGGTATTGTCGAGAAAGTAGCTTACTTCTAAACGAATACTCCATTGAATACACGGGGTCTATTAAATCTAGACATATTAGACATGGGTAAACTACAGTAAGGTAGTCAGATTGAACATGGATGGGATATGGAAGGTAAGGAGTATTCTTATGCCGGTAAGCATAACGCCATCTTGAGATGTTTACAATACTAACTGACGGTAGGACGGTAGGTACCACCACCCTGCTTATTTCTGCCGTGAAGCAGTCATGCCTTTCGGCTTGAAAGGCGGAGCAGACGATGTACTGTTAAAACTGAGCTTAAAACTCATGTCTCGAGATGGGTGGCGCTATTTACTTCGTCGATATCTATTGACTTCGGTGACCACTAAACACCACGTTGGCCGTAAGCTCGTCCAAGCATACCAATAAAAATAAAAATAAAAATTATTAGGTATTTATCAGGGTGATCATGATTTGATTCGTTTCTGTGTTGCTTATTTACGTTTCTGACATTTTGTCGATTTTCATATTATTTTTCTGCAAACTACAATTATTTAACTTAATAAATAGAAAAGCATAGGCGCTCTCTTCTAATAACAAAATACTTGAGACTCTAAAGCGAGTCATTGTCTAAGACAAATTTTGAAAATTCAAAGGCGACGACCTTTAGGCGTGGAAACACATATGCTTTCTTTATACAGAACCAGACCGGTTTTCATGGTGTTCCATCTTACACATTTACTAAGACCCCTCCCCACAAAAGACGAGGTTAGACCACTATTTGCCCTAGAAACTTCACACAGCACCAATCTCATTATGTACCCTGGTCAGATGCTGTTTCAAAGTCGACTTCTGAATGAAGCCCTTCTCGCAGATCCGACAGACGTGACTCTTGTCGCCCGTGTGAATTTTAACGTGATCTTTCAGATTGCTCTCCCAACGGAATCGGCGGCCGCAATGCCCGCACTCGTGCTTCCTCTCGTCAGAATGCGTCATCATGTGCAGCTTCAAGCTGACGTCATTGAAGAATCCCTTGTCGCAGACCCCGCATACGGCACTTTTCTCGCCCATATGCACCTTCTTTTGGTGCTGCACCAAATGACAATTGTACCGGTAGCGTTTCCCGCATATGCCGCAGGTTGGGGCGGGTATGCCGTGAGCGTCGGCCAAGTGATACGCCCTCAAGTGACCCGGGATTCTTTGGTCGCAATGCGGGCACTTTCGGTTCTTCGGTCTACGTTTTAAATGGACGAATCGATAGTGCTGTGACACCAGCGGTTGGGACGCGTACGTTCTGTGGCAAACGTTGCAGGTATAATCGTTTCGCACGATCGTGTAATAGCGCGGGATCTCGTTGTGCCCTAGAAAAGAAATTTCGCCGGGGTCAGTCAGCCTTTTCCGTCTTCTGGCTCGTCGATTCGGACGTTTTAATCGGGTACAGACGGCAGTTTAGTTTTTTATCCGTTTCGTGGGTAATTTTGTACGAAATCGATTTTCTTGACTCGTCCACGTAAACCATAAGTTTTTTTTTATTGCTTAGATGGGTGGACGAGCTCACAGCCCACAGCCCACAGTGTTAAGTGGTTACTGGAGCCCATTGACATCCACAACGTAAATGCGCCACCCATATTAAATATACTAAGCTTAAGTTTAGTTAAGTTTTAGTTAAGTTGCGTTTTCTAAAAACTAATTCTTATGTCATTCTCCTATTCGACTATACTCCTTGTACAAAATCCAAACGGACTGTTGGTCGATTCTGTACCAGACAAACCGACAAACATCCTATGTGTTTACCATTATAATTACTATAGATGTTTATTCAGTACTTTCTTTTTATACCATAAAGACGTCTTTATTAAATTTTTTTGGGATACCCACAATTTGATAATCTAATTATTATTATTCATTTTTATTGCTTAGGGGTTGGACGAGCTCGCGGCCCACCTGGTTTTAAGTGGTTACCGCAGCCCACAGACATCTACAACGTAAATGCCACCGCCCATCTTGAGATATAAGTTCTAAGGTCTCAGTATAGTTAAAACGGCTGCCCCACCTTTCAAACCGAAACGCAATACTACTTCACAGTAGAAATGGGCAGGGTGGTGGTACCTATCTGTGCGAACTCATAAGAGGCCCTACCACCAGTAAAAATGAATTTTTAGAATTTAAGATTATTACGAAGATCCCCGGCAACTTCGGATTGCTTTCGAAAGTCGAAAGTTGTGATGTCGCCCTAAGCTTCCCGAACTTAAAAATTGATTGATTGTACCGGATGTTAGCTGAAACACGCATATCAACAAAAACAGCGCCATAAAATATCACACATCGTTTCGATCCAGCAAAATTCACTCTATTTATTACTGGTGGTAGGACCTCTTGTGAGTCCGCGCGGGTGGATACCACCGCTAGATACGAATGCACAATACGGGCGTCTTATCCTTTAGGCCATGACGACTTCAAATAAGCGATATTTATCTTTGTAATGAAAGGTCCGTTTTATTGGGTACCATCAACAAATCGATGTTTTCAATTGAACTTCAATTAAGTTCACTCCATTCAAATAATTGAAGAAGTTTCTTTTGTTATGATATTTTTTCAAACTTTAAATGGCTCCCCTGCAAAGTTGCAAAAATGTGGCCTAGACCTTTCTTCGCCTTTCACCCCTCGATGTATTTAGCGAATGTCAACTATCAAAACCGAAATGTCAACTACGTCGAGTAACAGACGAAAAAAAAAAACATAATTACATAACAATGTCAATTTAATCGAAAAACAGTCTTGAAATAACATAATTACATAAAAAATATATAATAAATACACATATATATTTTACAAAATTAATAATATTTAAAACTAAAAATATTAATATAATCCTTTGACTGCTATGTAGGTCAACAACGGGGTCCTACATGGCGCTTTGAAGTAATTATGTCGATTCATTCCGAATAGGGACCAAGGGACCAGTCGTATTTAAGAAGTGTCCGTGGAGGCAGATTCGAATTAAAACAAATACCTAATCTGCTAACCGTATTTGACTAATCTATTCTATTAAATATGTGGTTTTTACGGATGTTCCGTTATAATTACTGAACCATGCATCCGACTGACTTGAAACTTGGTATCCATGTAGAAAATACATGTACTTTTTTTTTCTAAGATGGTTGGACGAGCTCACAGCTCACCTGGTGTTAAGTGGTTACTGGAGCCCATAGACATCTACAACGAAAATGTGCCACCCACCTTGAGATATGAGTTCTAAGGTCTCAGTATAGTTACAAGTATAGTTACTTAATGGATAGGCTAATATTAATATGAGTGTTGGACTCCCTACACCAGTTGCGGGGGCGTTGATGATGAGAATCTTTGTGGGGATGAGAAATAATAATGTTAATTTTAAATGCCCAGCGAAGCGGACGGGTACAGCTAGTATAAACTATAAATAAAACAGATTAGTTTAAAGAACTGCCTACAGCACTCGTTGAAACAAACCCAGGGTTCTGCTTACTGGTGGTAAGAGGCGGTCTTGTGAGACCGCACATGTGGGTACCACCAGCCTATCTGTACCGCGAAGCAGTAGTGCAATCCGGTTTTAGGAATAGGGGGGAGGTGCTCAGTGTACTTAGTGTGAGTTTTTTAACCTTCTCGATAGCGTAAAAGTTAAGTCAATTTTGTATGGAGTTGTAACAGCGCCCCTAGCGGCAAACGTGTGCAAACGATCCCATTCCATACAAATATGAGCTAACTTTTACGCTATCGAGAACGTTAAAAAACTCGCACTAAGCACACAGGCTACACAACCATTTCAAGCGCGTGAAGACTTTTCGCGAGATGCCGTTAAACGATACAATATCGGGGTTCCGTTGAAATCAAGTTAACGAAAGACATGTAATCAAAATCTTTTTTATTGCTTTATATATATTTACAATATACAATGTACAGAACCGGAACCAGACTATAATATATTTAGGCCCGAAAGGTCAGTCCGTTTTTTCTGTATTTCCCAATGGACATAGCACCCCAAAAGGTCAAACCGCTTTTTTTTTTATTTCCCAAAAGAAACCTATGACAAAACAATTACAGTACACGACGATAAATATTGCACATCGATCTTTAAAAAAACATAAAATCAAGTCGATTCGATACGTTTATCGCCGGGTACTGTAAGCACCATTTTCACTATTTGTCATCGATTTCGTTTTTGTGACTCTTGACGGGTATTGAAATTAAATATGAGAATGGTTATTTATTTCTAGAGCAAAAACTGACAATAACAAAACCCGAAGAGAGAACGCATTACAAATGAATCTAAGCCTTGAGATATTGGGGATTATGGTCGAATGTCGATGGTTAGACGAACCCAAAAAGTTTTACGCATTTTCCGATCAGGCGTAATCTCTTAACTACATCCCATTAGCCGAAACTAACCACGGTCATATTTGGAAGGGCGCAAAATCAGACGGTCTCTTAGAGGGCGAAGTTCGGGGAAAACAAATAGATACGGGACCTAGTAGACCAAAGACCTTAACGAATAGACTTAACATAGCAGTGAGGCCGATATTCAAAAATTGACTTCCGGATGATATTTCGTCATGTGGTAATTAAGGCTCGCTTTCTGCACGAAAGCCTGGCCGCAGACCGTGCACACCTTCCTCCGGTCCCCCGTGTGTATCCTCTCGTGGAGGCTCAGCGTGGCCCTCCTCAGAAACGATTTCTTGCAGAACCTACAGTGATAGTCCCTCTCTGTTTTGTGCTTGAACTTGTGCTTGTACATACCCTCGAAGCTGAAGGACTCGTAATCGCAAAAATCGCACTTGTATTTCTCGCCCATCATATGAAAGTTGTCCATGTGCTTCCTCAACTGGATCTTGCTGTTGAAAACGCCCTTGCAAGCGTTACAATTGATGCGATCGTCTATGTTGTGCTCGCGGAGCTTATGCACCGTGAACGTGGCCGGGGTCATAAAGCTCTCCGGGCATCGCGGACACTTGAACTTCGGTATCTTATAGTGCTTCGTTTTGACGTGGTAACGGAACGTGCAGTATTTGTTGTAGCGATTGCCGCAGTGCGTGCAGACAATGGTGGTTCCGTCGCGCGTATAGTCGTCGGCGCGGACGCGGAATTTTGACGAGGCCGCAATAATGCCTCCTAGAAGACAGAAAACAATTTATTTCGTTTGGCGCGTAACTCGGTCCGGCCAATCGGCGATCTCGCTTGCGTTAAGGGCGTTTTGTATGTAACCTTGGTAAAATGGATCCAATCTGATGTTTCTGAGTTGAAGTGTACAACACAGATGGCAAATTTTCTAGAATCTTTACACGTTTTTCGTCGGTAAAATATAACGAATAAACGTGACGTTGTTAAAATCGATAATCAATCGAAAGAGTTTTTGGAATGCGATTTTAACGTAGCACAAGGTAAGTGGTTAGATAATTGTTTAGGATAAATGGTATAATATAAGTCCACATAGAAGTGCTTTCAAAAAAAGTGGGTTTTACAGTAACGCGATTTTAGCAAAGTACAAGTTAAGTGGTAAGGTAATTGTTTAAATAAATGGTATAGGTAATACAAGTCGATATAAAGCGCCTTCGAAAAAACAGAAGGTTTTACACTAGCGCGATTTTAACAGAGCACAAGGTAATTGGTAAGGTAATTACTTAGATAAATAGTATAATAATATAAGTAGATAAAAAAGCGCTTTCGAAAAAACAGAAGGTTTTATACTAGCGCGATCTTAACAGAGTACAAGGTAATTGGTAAGGTAATTGTTTAGATAAATGATAGAAGTCTATATAAAAGAGGTTTCGAAAAAAGACAGGGTTCTACACTAGCGCGATTTTAACAGAGCACAAGGTAATTGGTAAGGTAATTGTTTAGATAAATGATATAATATAAGTCTATATAAAAGAGGTTTCGAAAAAAGACAGAGTTCTACACTAGCGCGATCTTATCAGAGCACAAGGTAATTGGTAAGGTAATTGTTTAGATAAATGATATGATATAAGTCGATATAAAAGCGCTTTCGAAAAAAAGGAGGATTTTACACTAGCGCGATCTTAACAGAGCACAAGGTAAGTGGTAAGGTAATTGTTTAAATAAATGGTATGATATAAGTCAATATAAAAGCGCTATCAAAAAATTGGACAAGTCCTAAGTTGAATTGTACGCGACGTGTAAACAATTGAGTGAGTGTGGACCCCACTAGCTCAAGAAAGCATTTCGCCATTCAACATATTAATATGCCAAGTTATTTTTACTGACGATTATTTATGAACGACCTCAATGGCGTTGCAACAATTTCTGCAAAGGGCCGCCTCACAGCTTGAGATCACCCGTCAAACCGCAACAGTTGACGGCTTCGCGGCAGAATTAGGCGGAACGGCGGTATATACCCGTGCGGGCTTTACATTTATTTATTTTCTAATCATAGACAGTAAGTAATAATTAAGAGTAACACTAAGCCAATTTCTTAAACAGTTTCTAAAATGTTAATAAAAAAGTATACGGAGAAATCGATTAGAAAATGGAAGCGATTCCACTGCACGCTTTGAAGGCATCATTTTAAACGAAGTTACTTTTTTTTCCTACCTATTCTAGTGACCCCTCGTGGTCACAAGTAAGTGAACTCACGGGTCTCTGACCTCACGAATTTGCTAACACTAACCCTAGCAAGAGTAATGCTTCGCAGAATCCAACACTGGATCGAAAACGCGAGCCACTGAGAAGATCCGGCGAGAAGCTGAGTAGGCTGTGTCTAATGGGCTAATTTGCTCGCCGAACCCTTCGTCGCCAGCGGCAGTTTCGACGAGAACGGTGATCGGTGCTTGAGGTACCACACAGTAACGATGGCCAAGCAGCGGGACACTCGGACTTTCGTGGGGAATCCCCATTAATAGACCTTCACCAAAACATAAAACTAATGATACTCGTGACTTCGCTGAGGTAACGCCGGACTTGAATGCACAAATCTACAATAACCAACGGAACCCGGCTTTACTAATGCTCATCGTTCTTTGCAAAGAGAAAACTGGGTAATATCAGCCTCTTGGAGCGTTATTAGCGTCGTAAGATTTTTTCTTCCCTATCTATACGCCGGTAGCTTAAAGGAATATTCCCGCTTCTGGCCAACGGGTAGGTGAGCTCATAGGCTGACCTGAGACAATTTGCTAGCACTGGCCCTAGCAAGAGCAGTGCTTCGCTGAATCTACCACCGATCGAGAGAGCAAGAAATTCAATGAGCTGTGACACACGGAATATCCGGTATGGATTTACGAGTGAGATGAGTAGACGAGTTCACAGCCCACCTGGTGTTAAGCAGTTACCGGAGCCTATAGATATCTACAACGCAAATGTCGCCACCTACCTTGAAATATCAGTTCTAAGGTCTCAGTATAGTTACAGCGGCTGCCCCACCCTTCAAACCGAAACGCATTACTGCTTCACGGCAGAAATAGGCAGGGTGGTGGTACCTACCCATGAGGGCTTACCACCAGAGGCACTCTCACCTCACCAGAGGCACAGGGTCGCTACGTGAACTGGAGACGCCTTCAGACAGGTACCGATCACAAGAGAATTTTCTCGAAGGAGTACCAGGGTTTTAGAATAATGACGTATTAAGAATCGAGTAATTTTTTTTTTATTGCCCTTGTAGGCAGGCGACCATACGGCCCACCTGATGATGAGTGGTTACCGTCTACCAATGGACTTAAGTAATAGGAGGGGCAGAGCCAAGCCGCTGCCTACCGCTTAATACTCTCCACAAGCCTCGTTTGAAGAAGAACATGTCATAGCGCTCGGGAAACGCCGTGGAGGGGAACTCATTCCATAGCCGGATGGTACGTGACAAAAAAATATCTCTGGAAACGCACTGTGGACAACCGCAGTGGTTCCAGGTAGTATGGATGAACTCTACTCCGGTGGCGGGCGGTGCAATGGTAAAAACGAGATGATCGAATCATCTCAAGCAATTCCTTAGAGCACTCCCTATGGAAAATACGGTATATATTTTACGTATTCACCCATGGTAGGGTCTGGTCGCATAACTATTGATATTTGTATTTATTTTGTATGGATTGTTGATTGTTTGTTGAATTTATCTATACTAATATTATAAAGAGGAAAGATTTGTTTGTTTGTTTGTTTCGAATAGGCTCCGAAACTACTGGACCGATTTGAAAAATTCTTTTTCCATTAGAAGCCGATATTGTCCCTGATGAACATAGGCTACTTTTTTTTTATTTTTTTTTATTTTATTTTTTTGGTTTCATGTGTGTTTTAATGTTTCCGAAGCGAGGGCGGGTCGCTAGTAAGACAATAAAAGAAAATACACATATAATATGATAAAAAAGGGAACAAAACACGCACGGTATTTTGAGTGTACCAGAGAGTGATAAACATACTTTTATATGTTTAAATATATTCATACATAGATAATAAGCACCCAGACAAAGAGCAAACAAATCTGGTCGTCACACGAACGTTCGCCCGATGCGGGAATCGAACCCACGACCCTCGGCACCACAGTCAAGGCCGCTAACTATTGCACCACCGAGTCAGTCGGCTTAGCAATGTGTATGTAACAAATATGGCCATAAATACTGTTACATAAAAACTTTTCCTTATTTTCAACTTTTTGATTATTTTGAATTTAGAACACTTTTTTTTTATTGCTTAGATGGTGTAGTAGTAGTACCTACCCGCGCGGACTCACAAGAGATCCTACCACCAGTAACAACGCTTCAGTGGTATCCTTGCATGGTCCATGCAACCTCTGTAACCAGCTGACAGTCTACTTAACGTTAAGCGTTCACGGCTCCTACCTTCAGCATTATCCTTGTTCTCTGCGCTCGATTCCATTTTAATCTTCTTCTTTTTGTTCAAGTCCTTTTTCGACCTGCCCTTTGTTTTGCTTTGAGCACGTTTAGATTTCTTCTTTGGCACTTCCGATTGTCCTTTGTGGTCTGTTAAAATTAATTAGAACACTAATTAAATGCTGATACTATTAGCTACTTATTAAATATCATCAATTTAGAAGTCGTCGTGGCCTAAAGGATAAGACGTCCGGTGCATTCGTATCGAGCGATGTACCGGTGTTCGAATCCCGCAGGCGGGTACCAATTTTCCTAATGAAATACGTACTTAACAAGTGTTCACGATTGAGTTCCACGGTGAAGGAATAACATCGTGTAATAAAAATCAAACCCGCAAAATTATAATTTGCGTATTTACTGGTGGTAGGACCTCCTGTGAGTCCGCGCGGGTAGGTACCACCACCCTGCCTATTTCTGCCGTGAAGCAGTAATGCGTTTCGGTTTGAAGGGTGGGGCAGCCGTTGTAACAATACTTGAGACCTTACAACTTATATCTCAAGGTGGGTGGCGCATTTACGTTGTAGACTCTATGACCTCTGGTAACCACTTAACAACCAGGTGGGCTGTGAGCTCGTCCACCCATCTAAGCAATATTTATATTTATTAAACATTATTGACTTATTAAAAATATACGTGCGGGCGCTAAGACGGCCATACAGGTCGACACTTAATACCTATAATCAAACTGCGCAATAGTCGGTATTCCGACGCTCCGCACTTAAAAAACGCATTAATAGAGTCGATTTATCGACGGTGCGCCCTCAGTTTTAATTAATTATTTAAAAATAATTTATAATACTAATTTTGATTCTCTGTACCTATCTATTTTCTTATGCTTCTACCATATCTATACATAATCTCAATTCATGTTTATATCCGTGTTGATGTGTAAATTATATTACCACACTACCACAATATTGTGAACGGACTTTAATTACAAAAAAATTGTCTCAACAAACAACATAAACCAATTGAAGCCTTAAATGATTTACCTTCATCGAGTAATTCATCATCGCAATGCCAGTCATCATCATCGTTGTGATCGCTCAATGCGGTGCTCACGCTCCGCTTCTTGACCTTGACTCTGTTACCAGGTATCCTGCTGAAAACTGTCATCAGATTACTTTGAGGCGGATTCCGTGACATTTATTGACACTCCAACTAATGGTAAAAAAGAATCTCACACGTATCATCTTCTCGCATTAAAACTGTATAGTCTCAAACCTTACTAATTGTATAGGAGAATGTTTTAAAGGTTTAACATGTGATATTTTTAATATTAATCATCTTTGCAACATTTATTTTTTATTCTTTACCAGTTACATTATCTGTTTTTTAAAGTAAAATAAAATTATGTATTAATTTTGTTAATAGTAGTCAAAACATAAGTAAAAAAGAAAAAACTAAGCTACGCTCTTTTGGCAGAATTTATGAGAAAAATACTGGTGATACCAAATGATTCCGCATATTAACCCAATTTCGAATATTTTTAGAAGTTGAACACTTTCAATGTAAAAAAAAAGACGATATATCACAGGACATAATATATCACAATCAAGATTTATCTAATACTTAAAATAAAACTGCTTCTTAAATTCATTATTATTTTTACTATTTATGATATTTCAAATACTTTTGTTTTTGTAGTCACAGACAACTAAGGTTCATATTATTCGTCATAATGATATTTCACAAACCTTATTAAAACTGCAATTTTTGCTTTAATTAAAAATATTCTTTTGGTACATGTATGGCTCTGTTTAAGAGCAGCATATTCCTGCGTCCCTGCGTGGTAAATTCTCTACCATGACCAGTGTATGAGGTATTTCACTTTTCAGGATATTATCAAAATAAGCCTTCTACTCTATCTGTTCATTAAATATTTATAACTACTGATACCATGCACCCCGCGCTTTTTTTACAATAAAATCATTTTTACTTACACTATTTTTAATTCTTATTAAGATTTATTTTCTGTTTTTTAGTTGGATGTTACAAAAGCGTATTTTGTTAGTTTTTTTTAAACTACTTTTTCACTTTTTAGTTGAATTTCAATCTTTTCATAATTTTTTTTAATATTGAATTGTCATCGATCCTTAATAATTATACCACATTTCGAGTTAATCCGACGTTTTGAAGGGGGTCAAAATCATGTTCAAAGATTCCGTTACATACTAACATACATACGTCTGAAGCTAATAAAAGCGTATTAATAACAGGGATAATCTGCTGTCTGAATCTACCACTGCACGTAGACACATCAGCATAATGGTCAGCATTACTAATACATTACTATGAAAGTTACATCCATTGAACTTAATGTACCGTAGACAAATATGATGTATTTTAAGAATGTTACCTTCATCAGTTTCTTCTTGTTTAATTTCTAAAACGTCGTCTGATTCAGCTCCTAAAATTTACAGTAATGTTGCATTAAAGGTCTGCCGAAGTAATAAGAAGTCTGCCGAAATACTTGTTAATAATTTTAAATAGACATGCTTTAACAAAAACCGACTTTAAATAGTAAAAAAAAAAGATATTCCAAAACAAATTAATATACACTAAAAACAATAACCATTGAAATCGATTGGTGTCATATTGAGTTATTCATCTACTTGTCACACACATACTTAAAGCAAATTTAAGACTTATATGGTTTTCTCGTGGATCCCATTATCAGAACTGGACTAAAATGAAATGGGACCACAAGGGAAGCGTCAGCTTTCTAATAAAAAATTATCATCAAAATCTATTCACCCAGTGAAAAGTTATGAGGTAATAAACAAAAAAAAAACAAAAAACATACAGTCGAATTGAGAACCTCCTCCTTTTTTGAAGTCGGTTAATAATTTTAGGTAATGTTATTATTACTTGGTGAGGTTAATGGTGATCAGTCTACTGTGTTAAAAACAAAGAAATTAGGTATACCTCTGATTAAATTTTTGCTAATCATTTCCTTGAATTTATCCTCATAGAAAAGCACTTGTTTCTTAAAGTTGGTAGCGTCTCTTAACTTTTCTATGCACGCATCGCATATTGTGTACGTAGAAACGCATAATAGTCCCGGCATCGGGTTTAACTGTAAGCAAAGAGTAAATTCCACGTTAAGAATACTTAATATTAGCTTTATAGTCCTAAAAATACCTGTGTGTTTTGTTACTTTTTAGATATAGCCACATATATTACCTTATAGTCAACTGTTGCTATCGGCTACTGAAGATTTTCGTCCACTGGAATACCAGCTAATAAGCTACATACCAACCTTATCCTTATGAATTTTAATAAAATGTGCGCTAAGTTAATATTACTCAGTGCTGGCCTCTAATCAATTATGGACCAATTATTATTGTTATTACAATCAATTATTAAGAAAAATAATATTATTTTTAAAGTTATATTCATTTCATTTTTTAAAGAGTATAATAAATACTATAAGAAACATTAGGTATATTCCTCGTAAAAGTTTTATTGTAAGTCTAACTTTAACAATTAATTGGAACATTAAGTCTAAAATGGTCTTGGTGACCTGGTAGTGGTCGATCATGGTTCCCGATCAGAGCCAGCTTGTTTCAAAGGGTCACATGGTACTCAAAGCAGTGGAATGTTCTTCAAAAACATTTCTATAATCATCAATATTTTTGACTCAATGAGATTCTACAAATGAATGGTTTTCTTAAATTTTAGTCTTTACTTTTACTAGACGATGCTGGTTTTTTTTTTTTTGATAGCGCCGTCTTGTTGTGTCTTTAAAGCGGTTAGTTGTCCTCAATTAAGAAAAATAGTATTATTATTTGCCATTAAATGTCAGGAAGAGTTGATTATTGAAAACACGGATAAAACAACATTTTCTGAAAATAAATCGTAGCTAGAATCGATTTATCGCCCTCGAAATCCCCTGTATACTAAATTTTATGAAAATCGTTGGAGCCGTTTCTGAGTTTCAGATTATATACATATATATTAATATACAAGAGTTGCTCGTTTAAAGGTATAAGATAAGATTCAGCATGTTGATAGTATCTGAGAAGTGAGTTGCAAGTATTCCAGCAGTCAATAAGCGAATCCGAGCAGAATAAGCTAATTACAACCACTAAACAAATTTTGTAGTGTACAACAGTAAGTGGCCTTACCACTAAAAGTGATTACTTCCAGTCAACGACTGAGCAAAACAAATATATTAGGCAAGAGAGCTGCAGTGTTACAAGAATTACTATAATTTTGATTTCTTTACATACCGAATAAATAATAATAATTTTCAAAGTAAACAATATTAATAAAATTTTCAATGTTTTGGTATTTATTACACTTATTCGCAACGTAGTCTAGTTTATTAAGAAATCGAATTATTTTTATATGTGTTTATTTTACTTACATTAATATCAAAAGTATCGCGTAGCATATCATAGTAGATTTCTTCGATTCCGCCAAAATTGTAAACTCCGGTGAGGTTCTTGTATGCCCCTTCACTGTGACAACAACGACACAAATCGTCTTCCAACTTACATACAACTTCGGACATTTTTATATCTTAATATTATAATACATAGCTATTTTAAATTCATTTAATATTTAAAAAAAATTATGATTGACAACAATATTTTGACTTTTGAGTTCGAAGTTTATTTGTCCGCCATTTTTTATTTGTTTTTTTTCGTTTATTCCGTCAGTTGGGCAGGCAAATAAGACTGTGCCCATACATCCATTACTAACAACTTAAAACTAAGCCCCACACAAACGCGTTTGTAATTGCAATTTTGTAAATAATTACTAACAAAAACGTAATCTTATAACTTGTTAGAGTAATAACAACGTGAGCACACCGTTGTAAGCTCATCTTCTGCCACACTTTTTCGTGAAGAAACAAAATAACCAAAAGAAGTTTTTGTAAATGCTTAGTTAGTATGTGGTTGAATTCGGAATAATATTGAATAGGCGGTACAAAATTCATTTAACTCATTTCACACAGTGTACACAACAAAAAATGGAACCATACTATAAAATGTACGCATAAAAACAACTAGAAATTTCAAACTTATCACGGGAATTTTCTTAACATTCCTTGATTGCAAAGAACAAAAGCGAATGAAGTTTAATGCTTATTTCCTGGTTCCCGTATATAAACGTAAGTGCAGATTCTATATCGTTTCACTTTGTCATTCGATGAATCCAAACGTGAAGACCGATTGGCGTGTGACATTAAACACAAGTTTAAAATTTGCCGAAGACGGTACAGAAGCTGTTTGATGTGCCGACAAAGACGAAGCAGACTAGCGGCGCCGGCCGAGTGCTTATGTGTGTATAATTCAATCAGCTGGCATCACGTGCACATTTATAAGTTCGAACAGTTTTCACGATTAGACCGGTCGCATTCTTAGGGTTTTTACAATATTTTATCTATATCGATATCTAATATATCTAATAATTTACATCGATTAGATTTTTATAATATCTTGTACTACTGATGCAAGTAATCACTTACATAACTTCGACCTGGAAGACACAAATTACTTATTACGTGCCATAGAGGGCTTACAGAAAACGATATCACGGAGACCGTGCTTATTTGGGGGTGAAAAACGTATTCAGTGCGCACTCAATTCGTACGACTTGTATCTATTAATATTACGTTTACTATCTGGTGGTACCGATTGGTGCTAAGACGCCTTGTGAGCCCCTACAGGTAGGTAGCACCACTCTACCTGTTTCTGCCGTGAAGCATTAATGCGCTTCGGCTTGTAAAGTGGAGCAGTCGTTGTAAAGTAAAAAATTAAACCTACGTATCAGTTTTTCAATCCTACTGGTAGCTTTTCTCAGGCGGTTTGACGGCATTTATGTTGTTGATTTATATGAGCCCTGGTAACCAATGGACACCAATAGGGCCGTGAGCTCGACCTCCCAACTAATAAAAATAAAATTCGCATCTTTTGATCTATGGACTTATTTTTCACGTATTATTGTGCCACGTATTGGCTTTACTTTTGTACTTTTCTGTGTCATGTTAAATAGTTACTTACCTAGTTTTCCAATTACAGAGCATAATGCGACTCAGTGGCGCACAATGCCGAATTATGCTGAAGCTTAATTGGAACATGAATTAGTTTTCAAATGCATCAGCAGAGTGCGCTAAGTTCAGTGTTGAAAATAATGTGGTAAACAATAATAATTGATTGAAAACTATTTACGGTTATTATAAGTAATATGGATTTCGATTATTTCATTAGAATTTTTTACGTTTTGAGTATTTTTTTAAAATGAGTTCTAAGAAAATTATATATTTTTTAATTGAATCATCTTATCCAGGTGATAGTGATGACGATGATTTATCGAGTGCTCCGAGTTTAAATCAATCAATTATTTCATTAACAAGTGATGTATTTATTGAAAATATATATGATAATAAACAGATGAGTTATTTGAGCCATTAATAAAGTATCTGATAGTTAATATTTTTGTGGTTTATTGCAAATACTGAACCATTGCGGACTATATCTTTTTTTTTTTGATATTTCAATTTCATCAACATTCAGAGTCATTCGCTGTGTCATAACTTGGATTCTAACGAAATTGGATGATGTTATCAAGTGGCCTCAGACTAAAAATAATATTACTAAGATCAATGCCAACATAAAAAAAACACTTGTCAATTTTCTGTCACTGAGTTGGTATAGCGCAGTACCTACTTTTGACAGTGTTCGATTCAACTCGATTGTGCGAAGCGTTGCTGTAGTTGGAACATTAACGTTGAGCATTATGCCGCATAATGCGCTCTAGTGCTGTAATTGGAAAACTTTAATCAAACAGATATGATTTTGGGCCTTTGTTTCATAAAATTAAGCTGTATGGGCTAGGTTCCCTTTATCTGTTTAACGGATCAAAAAAAATACTTTATAGTGCGATTGACTGACGAATTTTCTTCGAATTTTAGAAGCTTTATTCGTCGCAAGTCAATCTTTATTATGAAATAAATGAAATATGACTAAAATTCTTTAAGAATATGAAACGAAACTTAAAAGATAAAATGAACGAAAACAAACATTCAAATCACGGAATAAGGTTTGTGCCCCATTGAGTGTAACACAAAAAAATTTTGAAATAATAGTTTTCGAGTTCTTGAAAAAGCTTTTAATTTTGAAAAATTTTAATAATGTTAGGAATTATATGAAATTTCTACAAACCAAAAAAAAAATTAAAAAAAAAAAATTAAATAAATATGAAGTATTAACGAAATATAACGACGAAATAAATATGAAAATACTTCTATTTGTTTATTAATGTTGATGATGATAATTATAATGATGTCAGTATTTTTTTATTACCTTTTTTAGCAGACAAGCATACGGCCCACCTGATTGATGGTGTGTGGATACTGTCTTTGCGACGCACCAGTTGCAATGCCAGAGTACAACCAAATCACTGCGTACTGCAATTAATAAATATGTATAAACCCTAGACTTACTACTACTCTGTCTCTAGTATGTCCATGGACCACAGTGAGCAGTTGAAACTATGAAACTATTACATCACTCAAGCAACTTACATAAATTTATTAGTACTGAAAGAAAAAACTGTTGTGGCACTAAGTGTGAGATTTTTCATTATTCCTTAATCCAAATTCTATACGCATTGAAAATAGGAAACGAAAATCTCTAATAACCGCCATATCGTAATTAAGGTTTAACATTGGCTGCTAAGCGACCACTAGTGTTGTAAGTTCTATCCGACAATTTTATTTCAGCAAAACGTCAACAAAAACTAAACCGATGAATAAAACCAATCGCAAGAAGGGGTGTAGGCAAAGATCGAATTCAAACAAAACAGAACCGGAACCGACTACTGAAATCACCTTAAACGTTCCAAAAGTTGATTACAGGTAATTAAAGACATAAATCAACTATTACTTAATTTTTAACTTTTACTTAACTTTACTTAATTTAATTATTCATTGTATCATTAATATATTAGAAATATCGGGAATTATATACATTAACGATGAGCAACGTGAGATTTAAACGTTCATAGTAGTATGAATTATGTTATGGAGAACTTTTTGTATTGGTGTCTATGGTAGCTTACGGCTTCAAGCTGTTGTAGACATCAATATACCAAGATCACAATCAAGCCGCTGCCTGTCAGTAAGGGCACTCGAAATACATAAACGAGCTCATGACAAGGCCCACCTAATATTAAGTGGTCTGACCCTAAGGCAAGATGACATAATATATATATGCCGGCATCTAGAAACATGAGTTTGAAGTCACAAGCTTATTGCTATTTGAAGTTGTCGTGGCCTAAAGGATAAAGACGTCCGGTGCATTCGTATTGAGCGATGCACCAGTGTTCGAATCCCAGGCGGGTACCAATTTGAAATACATACTCAACCAATGTTCACGATTGACTTTCACAGTGAAGGAATGACATCGTGTAATAAAAATCAAACCCGCAAAATTATAATTTACGTAATTACTGGTGGTCGACCTCTTGTGAGTCCGCACGGTTAGGTACCGCGACCCTGCCTATTTCTACCGTGAAGCAATAATGCATTTCGGTTTGAAGGCTGAGGCAGCTGTTGTAACTATACTTGAGACCTTAGAAATTATATCTAAAGGTGGGTGGCGCATTTACGTCGTAGACGTCTATGGGCTCCACTAACCACTTAACACCAGGTGGGCTGTGAGCTTGTCCACCCATCTAACATAATAATAATAATAAAGCCCTTTAATTCCGAACTACATGCATGATGAAATTTAACATTTTTGTGTGTTTTTTTTACATTTTATTTCTTATAATATAACTCGCAGATCGGCGTGCCTCGTGGCATAGGCCTCCTCCAGCTCTCTCCACTGGGCTCGGTCCTCTGCAACTCTGGTCCAGTATGGTCCTAGGGTTAGGCGTATATCGTCACTACATGTTGTTTTTGGACGCCCCTGTCTTCTGGTGACCCTCTTGGATACCATAAAGTTAATTGTTTACTCCACTTGTTTTTTTTGCAACGTAGCACATGTCCTGTCCAACTCCATTTAAGATTTTCTATACGAGTTATTATATCCGTTACTTTTGTCTTCCTTCTTATTTCCCAATTTTGAATTCTGTCACTAAGTCTGATACTCAACATGCTTCTTTCCATTGCTCTCTCTGTTTTAGCAAGTTTTTCTCTGTTTGTCAGTTAATGTCCATGTCTCACAGCCGTAAGTCATACAAGGGAGAATACTATACGTGAGACCTTAGAACTTATATCTCAAGATGGGTGGCGCATTTACGTTGTGGATGTCTATGGGCTCCAGTATCCACTTCACACCAGGTGGGCTGTGAGCTCTTCCACCCATATAAGCAATAAAAAATAAATAAAAAAAGAAACAAGTGTTGAAAGTCTTTCTCTTGATATGATCTTTATTCTTCATTATCTCTTTCAAGGACCAGTATTTCTTGCAACCGCAGGCTATTCTTTTGTTTATTTCCTTGGACATGGAGTCTTCAGGAGATATAATTTGTCCTAGGTAAACGAATTCCTTCACATATTCGAACTTGGTTCCGTTTACCTCTATATTCCTTTCTGTTGACTTCGTCATTAGTTTCGTTTTATCTGCATTAATTTCTAGCTCTATTTCTCTGCTTTTTTCTACATTT